GTTGGGGGACCCACATTTCTTTTTCCTTACGAATTGTTGATATTTATTTTACAAGTGTTTATTTACTAATTTTTATTGGGCACTTTTAATATATGTTAATAAATTGCTAATAGGTGACTGACAACTGACATTTGTCAGCTTGCTTTTCATATAAGAAGCAAAGTACCATACATAAAACAGTGAGTTGTATTGGTGTTATATTTTTTTTCTAGAAAGAAATCACTGTACTTCAGTATGCAGGTTTTCCACTGAGTCATATAGAGTATTAAAACATTTATACAAAAGATCTCCAATGCTTTTGTATGGGTAGGATCAACTTAGTAAGAATGCCAATCTTTCCAAAAGCATTTAACGGATTCAATGCTTTCCCTATCAAAATACTGGCACAATTCTTCATAGATTTTGAAAGAACAATAATCAACTTTATATGGGAAAATGAAAGACAAAGCTAGCCAAAAAAAACCTGTATAATAAAGAAACTTCTGGAGGCATCACCATCACTGACTTCAAGCTCTATTATGGAGCTATAGTCCAGAAAACAGCTTGATATTGGCATAAAAATAGGCAGGTAGACCAACAGAATTTAATTGAAAACCCTGATATTAACTCACACACCCCGGAACACCCAATTTTTGTCAAAGAAGCTAAAATTATACAATGAAAAAAGAAAGTATATTAAACAAAATTTGCTGGCATAACTGGATTCTGGCTTATAGAAGACTGCAGATAGATTAATACCTATCTCCATGGACAAAACTTAAGTCCAAATGGATCAAAGACTTCAACATAAATCCAGACATCCTGAACCTCTTACAAGAGAAAGTGGGAAGTACCCTTGAACAAATTGGTACAGGAGAATGCTCCCTGAACATAACACCAGTAGCATAGACAGTGAGATGGACCATCAATTAATGGGACATTCTGAAATTGAGAAAGTTCTGTAAGGCAAAGGAAACACTCAGCAAGACAAAATGGCAGCCCACAGACTGGGAAAAGATATTCACCAGCCCCGCATCTGACAGACAGCTGATTTCCAAAATAAACAAAGAACTCAAGAAGCTAGCCACAAAAAAAAAATCCAATTTAAAAGTGGGATACAGAAATAGAGAATTCTCAATAGAAGAATCTAAAATGGCTGAAAGATACTTAAGAAATTGCTCAATATCCTTAGTCATCATGGAATTGCAATTCAAAACAACTCTGAGATACCCTCTTACATCAGCCACAATGGCTATAATCAAAAACATCAATGACAGTCTATACTGGAGAGGATGTGGAGAAAGGGGAACGAACACTCCTCCATTGCTGGTGGGAATGCAAACATTTTCACCCACTTGGAAAATCACTGTGGCAATTTCTCAGAAAAAATGTGAATCTATCTACCTGAAGTAGAGGCAGGTGAATCCCTGTGAATTTGAGACCAGCCTGGTCTACAAGTTCTAGATCCTGGACAGCCTCCAAAGCTACAGAGAAACCCTGTCTTGGAAAACTCCACACAAAAAAGAAACCACAAAACAACAGCAAAAAAAAAAAATCTGCCTCAAGATCCAGCTATTCCACTCTTGGACATATACCCAAATGATGCATATTCAGACAGCAAGGACATCAGTTCAACTTTGTTCACAGATAGCAGCATTGTTTTTAATAGCCAGAACCTGGAAGGAACCTCCACAGAAAAATGGATGGAGAAAATGTAGATTTACAAAATGGAGAATTACTCAGTGGAAAATAAAACAATGAAATCTTGAGAGTGAATGGAATGAACTGTAAGAAATTATCCCGAGTAGCTGAAAGACACATAAGAAAGTGTTCAACATGCTTAGCCATCAGGGAAATGCAAATCAAAACACCTCTGAGATACCATCTTATACCTGTCAGAAAACCTGAAATCAAAAACACCAATGACAGTTTATGCTGGTGAGGATGTGGAGAAAGGGGAACACTCCTCCACTACTGGTGGGAGTGCCAACTCATACAGCCACTTTGGAAATCAGTATGGTGATCCTTCAGAAAAATGGGAATCAGTCTACCACAAGATCCAGCAGTTCCACTCTTAGGCATATACTCAAAAGGAGCACATTCATACAAGGACATCTGTTCAATTATGTTCATCGCAGCATTTTTTGTAATAGCCAGAAGGTGGAAACAACCTAGATGCCCCTCAACTGAAGAATGGATAGAGAAAATGTGGCACATTTACACAATGGAGTACAACTCAGCGGAAAATAACAATAACAATGGAATCTTAAAATTTGCAGGCAAATGTATGGAAGTAGAAGAAACCATTCTGAGCAAGGTAGCCCAGTCACAAAAACACAAACATGGTATGTACTCACTCATATATCAAGTTTTGACATAGAGTAAAGGATTACTAGCCTACAATCCACACTGCCAGATAAGCTAGTAAACAAGGAGGACTCTAAGAGAGACATATATGGTCCCCTGGAGAAAGGAAAAGAGACAAGCTATCCTGAGCAAAAGGGGAGCAGGGGGTTAGGGGATAGGGAACTAGGAGAATGAGAAGAGGAGAAGGAGAGTGAGGAGGACATGATGGGGCAGAGACTTTGAGTTTGGGGAAGAACAGAAGAGAGCAAATACGATATACTACAATAGAGGGAGACATTATGGATTTAAAGAGAAATCAGGCACTAGGGAAATGTCTGGAGAGCTACAAAGATGACAGCAACTAACAATCTAAGCAACAGAGGAGAGGCTATCTTAAATGCCATCTCCTGATAATGAGATTGATGATGATAATTCATATGCCATCCTGTAACCTTCATCCAGCAGCTGGTGGAAGTAGAAGCAGACACCCACAGCTAAACCTTGAGCTGAACTGGAATCCATTTGCAGAGAAGGATGACTGATGAGCAATGGGGTCCAGACCAGGCTGGTGAAACCCACAGAAACAGCTGACCTGAACAAGGGAGAGCTCTTGTTCCCCAGATTGATACCTGAGAAACCAGCATGGGACTGATCCAGAGTCCATGAATGTGGGTGTCAGTGAGGAGACCTTGGAAATCTATGTGGCCTCTTGTAGTGGATCAGTACTTATCCCTAGTATAGAAATGGACTTTTGGAGCCCATCCCACATGGAAGGATACTTCCTGAGCCTAGACACAAGGGGGAGGGCCTAAGTCCTGTCCCAAAGGATATAACAGAATTTGAAGATGCTATGGAAGGCCTCATCCTCCCTGGTGAGCAGAAAGTGTATGGGACAGGAAGGATGTTATTTTTAGGGGGGGCAGAGGAGGAGGGGAGGGAGAGGGACCTTGGATTGACATGTAAAATAATCTTTTTTTTTTTTTTGGTTTTTTGAGACAGGGTTTCTCTGTGTAGCTTTGGAGCCTATCCTGGCACTCGCTCCGGAGACCAGGCTGGCCTCAAACTCACAAAGATCTGCCTGCCTCTGCCTCCTGAGTGCTGGCATTAAAGGCGTGTGCCACCAATGCTCAGCTAAAATAATCTTTCTAATTCAAATAAAAAGTATCAAAAACATTTATACACAAGGGTTAACATTTCCTACAATTAATTTCTTTTTGTAATTAAGTTAAATAGTATTCCAAAGTGATGGCATCTTTATTGTGCACATGTCCTACTGCAATGGAAACCAAGGCATTGCAAATGGTAGGCAAATGTTTTACTACCAATTTATACCCCAAGACCTATCTTTATTTTCTCCTTTGAGATAGGTTCTTTAATATGGTTCTCAGATTGGCCTTATACTTATTCCTTAGCCCAGACAGGGCTAAAACTTTCAGTCCTTCTGCCTTTGCACCTTTAGTATCTTGGATTGCAGAACTTGACTGCCAATGAGTATTTGATACTTAAAAGTCTCTCACTATGAAGAACACAGAGTGGTGATCCTGCCTTAATCAAAGCTAAACCAATAGATCATTTCTTTGGTACCATGAGTACAGATGTCACAGAGTGAAATATTTAGTATGAAATGCACAGTAGACTAGTACAGTTACTGTAGAAAGATCTACATGATCCCAGTGAATAGGAGATCCCAGTCTGTTCATGCTTCCCAAGGTAACAAACTGCCAGATTATAGTACAATGAACTGACATTTATTCGTAAAGTCAGAGGAGTACATGTTGGATGCATCTGTCCAGATTTTTTTTTAATTTCTAACAAGACTCTGGACTTATTGAAAGTTTACATACTGATATGAATCTTTGTCAGCATATGTAACTTATTATTTCATCTTTCAGAGTGAATTCATCCTTTGTAAATGATGACTTTGCCCATAAAATTCCCATTCCACTCAGTTCTTACCAATATGTTTTAAATATTCCAAACAGATATAAAGAAATGTCTACACACTTATATTTATTTTCCTTAACTATCCCTTTTATTTACCTTAACTTCCAGGTAACAATATGTAAAAACTATGTCACAGCATAATTTGTGATCCAGTGCTGCTGTTCTTCACTCATGTTTCCTGGTACAGAATATCTATAAGAGGGTGTGGAAGGTTGAACTTCACTCACATCTGAGGGTAAAGGGCTGCTAACAGGAAGCAGGCAATATTTATGAAAATTCTGTATCTTTGCCAGGAAGAACCTGCTGCTCTTTCTGGGAAACTCTTCTCCTCTGTACCAAGCACTACCCACCCTTTGATGCCCCTCCCTCAAATCCTATTATAAAAATACAGCCATCTCTGCCCTGACAAACCATCCCAAGATCTCTTCAAGATGGGTAAGTGGGAGCTGAAAGATGATGGAAGCTTTGCAGGGGTTCACCTGCCACTAGCAGAAGGTGTTCCAGGGTTCATGCTCTCACATAATAGAGAACTTTGTGAGTCAGTCAAGCGTAGCTGTGGAAATCTCAGAGGAAGAAGGAAACCTGGATTTCCAGACCACAGGGGAAGATATGACAAAATTAGTGTCATACTACCAAACTAGTAGAGCGAAGGAGAGCAATGGTCCTTTCTGTGCACCCTCTCTAACCACACTACCTGGAGTGACTCTGATTGTTTCTCCCTAACAGGCAAGATGCTGTCTGGCATAGCACTCACCAGCGTGTCCTGGATCCTGCTATCCTGCCTGATGCTCTTAACTTAGGTGCAAGGTAAGACTTCTCTTCCTGTAGCACTGAGTTCGAGTGATTATTTGGAGTCAGGTAGCAGAGGAAAGTCTCATGAGGAATAATGAGGAATTTCTGTACAGAAAATCTGCTGTAACACCTCCACCATCCTGCATTCCTCCAGGTCACTGGTTGTGGAAAGTACCATGTTGGTTTGCCACCAGTGAAATGGACAAGATTTATCATTTTGTCAGGATGCTACAATTTATGTTGGTAGAATGAAGGGGGGAAATGATGATTAACAATGAAGTCTATGTGTGAAGAATGATGGACAACTTAGGTTAAGCCTATCAGCCCAGAGTTGGTGGAGTCATGAATTAATACATAGGAAGGAAAAGAAATGTTCATTATAAAAAAATAAGTCTCAAAAACTATAAGAAGGCTTTATATTGATTTCCTTCCAAGAAATAGTCTACTAAAATAGTCCCTACTTTGAACAATCTATCTAAATCCCACTTTTCATTTCATCCCATTGCTCTATTTATCTTACTCCACCCAGGTGAAGACTCCCAGAAGGAAGTATTCTCAGCACGCATTAGTTGTCCTAAAGGCTCCATGGCTTATGGATCCTACTGCTACGCCTTGTTTCGGATACCACAGACTTGGTTTGATGCAGAAGTGAGTACTGAGAGGTGGAAAGCACATGTGGGTCACGGGGGAATGTTGGGTTCCATTCTCTCTAGTTTATTGTGTCTGAAATGAATACTGGACTTCAAAGTAGCCTGTTCCCTCGCCTACCTCTTCCTGGCCATTATTCAGTGCAGTCTCAATCTTCTTTTTATTCTTTTCCTCACCCAGCTGGCCTGTCAGAAGAGGCCTTCAGGACACCTTGTGTCTGTGCTCAGTGGAGCTGAAGCTTCATTCCTGTCCTCCATGGTGAAGAGCACAGGGAACAGCTACCCGTACATCTGGATTGGGCTCCATGATCCCACCCAGGTATGACATCCTCTTCTATGTTTCTGCTTACCTGCTATTATCACATAGGTACACTTGCTGAGCCTCTCCAGAAAGAACCCTAAAGGACACAGAGTTCAAAGATGGGGTGACACTGGGACAAAGGAAACAGTCAAGATGAGACAGTAGAGATGAGCTCTGTGAGGATTCCTAGACTTCAGATGAAGTACATGTGCCGGTTCTTGACTTTTTTGAAGGTGTCACAGGAGGCATTGGAATAATTTGCTGTTAGTTTTAGAGAGCTATCACACACACACAGTATTTTCAAGAAATACAGAATAAAGAGACAATCCATATTTTATCTTTGTGGAATAAATATTCTACTTCCATTTTAGAGGAAATTGTTAGTTTACCACAATATATATTTCAAGTAAATTTCAGTGAGTTCCAATTTTATCAGTAGTTCCTAGGTTTATAAACAGAAATGAAGCAACAATAATTTCTAGAGTCTTAAAAATTGTGTCTGATCAGAGCATTGAGAACCCTATCTTTTATCTGGTTTGCTCCTCATCAGGGTGAAGAACCCAATGGAGGTGGATGGGAGTGGAGTAACAGTGATGTGATGAACTACTTTAACTGGGAGAGGAAGCCATTTGCTGCCTTAGACCGTGGTTACTGTGGCAGCTTGTCAAGAGCTTCAGGTAAGAGAGAGAAGAGCCACGTCACCTTGAAGCATACCCATCTTCTCACATCTTGGGGTACCTCTAGCTAGGAAGTGGAATGCTGTCTTCTTCTGTCAGTTCTTTCATCTTCTTTATTGGCTTCTTGGATATGTCCTTCCTCTAGATTGTACTTAGAGGAAGTGAACAGGAGGGAGTGACTTTTAAGTTGGAGCCACAAATTGAGGCATTTCTTCATTATGTTCTCAAGATCCACAGTCCTCAATTACTTAACCCATTTTATCTTTCCAGGATTTCTGAAATGGAGAGACAATACCTGTGATGTGAAGTTGCCCTATGTCTGCAAATTCAGTGGATAGGCTTATCAAAAATCAAACAGCTAGAATTTGTCCTGAAGCTCATCATGGACATGGGACCAAATGTGAAGACTCACCCAGGAAGAGCATGTCCTATCCACGGTCCACATCAGACACCTCACTGCCTCTTTCCAAATCTTGCCTTAGTCATTTCTGTATAGGTTGAGGCCTCAAGTCTCAGATAGAAATAATAAAACTTTAGTCACACTTTGAGTTTTTGTGTTCCATCAAAAATATTATTTATTATCACTGCCTATGTTATGCATGCATGTATGGGTGTGTGAATACCACAGCATTTCCATGGAAATCAGAGGATAACTTTGGGGAATCATTCTTATCTTCTATCTATTGAGACAGGGTTTCTGGTTTTTTGCCACACAGTAAATTCACAAGGGTCGGGACAGTTGTCCAAACTCCTCTGCTTTCCACCTCTCCACAGGAGTACTGAGTTTACAAGTGGCAGACACTGTATCTAAGTGTTTTTAGTTATTCCCCTAGGAATTAGGGCAAACAAACTCACATCATCAGGCTTGAGAAATAAAACTTTAGCCTACCAAGCCATCTTGCTGGCCCTGTGCATCATTTCTAATTGAAAATACTTTGCATATAATATATAATGCATTCTGGTCTCCTACCCCAACTCATCCCAGATCATCTCCACCTTTCTACCAATCCAATTTCATGATCTTTTTGTGTCTATCACTTTAAAACACAAATAAACGAATAAACTAAAACCAAGAAGCAGACTCAAACTCTGCAAAGACATGAAAATGGAAACCAAAATATTCAAGCAAATGACAAATAACAGGAAGGTTGTCAGAATGGCAGAGGAGACATCGGATAATTCTTCTCAGTTCTGTCCATACAGACAGTGCCTAATGGTGCATGCTTAGCACTGCCCTATAACTAAGAATGTTGGCCGTGCTCATTGAGCGTTGTACTGTGACCATATGAAGGCATTACCTTCCTTTACAGTCAGGGCTCCAGTTGCAGGCTAATGACTGATGTTTTCAACAGTTCAAGAATCATCTTTGAAGACTAACATTAAAAACTGCAATCTATATGAATGATAATTTTTGTTGGATATGGTAAAAAGAAATGAACTTACCACAATAGTGCAGGCATAAAGAGTCTATAACTTTCTTATTCTCTTTCCAACAAGACAAAAAGAAAATCTGAAAGTACTTTAGCAAATTCTTTTTGGACTAATGAGGGAATGGAAGCAGCAGGGAAAAATCCTTTTCTGGTTTTTACAGAAGAACCAAGTGCATAGCTTCCTCCGTCTATACCTATAAGATGTTGGAGTAAGGTTCAAGGCTATGTGGGGGTCCTTGGTGAGAGGAAAACACCTCTACAATCTCTTATTTCTAGAGAGACCTGCGAATACTCCCAATGGGAATTCTTTTTTCATATAATTCATCAATTTCTTATGATAAAAGCCAAGAATAATTACTGCAAGACCTGTAAGAGGGAGGAGAACATTAACCCTTTGAAGTCAGCTGTAAAACAAGTAACTCTCACGACAGCTTGTGCAAAGTGTTTATTCAAATCCTCCCTCCTTTATAGTTCCTGTTTTTTCTAGAGTGGGTAAAGCTAAGAAACCCTTTGTAAGTCTTGACCTTGGGTATAGGACCAACACTGTTTTTTTTTTTTTTTTACTTATTTTTTGTGTGTGAGTGTGCATGTACACATGGACCAGTGATCAACTTTGTGTTTTTAAGGTGCCTAGGAAGTGTTAGTCCTCATGCTCTGTTTACCTTGTTTTATATCATGGGGTATCTCATTGGTCTGAAATTCCTAAATTCAGCCCTGATAGCTGAGATCCATCAGTCTTTGCTTTCCCTGTTCTGAGATTACAGAAATATGGCACCACACTCAACATTTTTTTTAAAAAAATAAGTGGATACTAGACATAAAGCAAAAGATACCCAGCCTACAATCCACAACCCCAGGGAAGCTATAACCCTCTTCCAGAAACAAATGGAAGCAGATGAAGATATCCACAACTAACCAATGGGCCAAGCTCCTAGAGTACAATTGAAGTGAGGGAGCAGTGATAATATAACATAAAGCAAAAGATACCCAGCCTACAATCCACAACCCCAGGGAAGCTATAACCCTCTTCCAGAAACAAATGGAAGCAGATGAAGATATCCACAACTAACCAATGGGCCAAGCTCCTAGAGTACAATTGAAGTGAGGGAGCAGTGATAATATAAACAAAGGAATCAAGACCATGATGGGGAAACCCACAGAATCAGCTGACCTGAGCTAATGAGGGATCACTGACTCAGGACTGACAAATGGGAAACCTGCATAAGACTGAACTAGACTCCCTTAAATATAGGTGACAATGGTGTGACTGGGACAATATTTGAGGCCACTGGCTGTGGTTCCAAGATCTAACACTAATGCACAAAGTGACTTAGTGGAGCCCATTCTGAATGGAGAGGTTCCATGCCTAGCCTAGACACAGGAGTGTGGGGTTGGAGAGGTGCCTTGGTCCTGCCTCAACTAGATGATGGGACAGACTTAGTAGACTTCCTAGGAGAGGCCTTACTCTCTCTGAGGAGCAAAAGGGAGGAAGGGGAAGTGGGGGAGCAGAATGGGAGGGGGAAGGGGGAGGGGGAACTAGGATTGAAATGTAAAAAAGAAATTAAGAAAAAAAAAGAGAAATGTCACTTTATGAAGGGTCTAATACATAACTACGGTGAGTAACTGGTAGAACCATGAGTACCTCGTCTATCAAAAAGAACATCTGGTGCTGGGTGTTGGTGGTGCATGCCTTTAATCCCACCACTCAGGAGGCAGAGGCAGATGGATCTCTGTGAGTTCGAGGCCAGCCTGGTCTCCAGAGTGAGTGCCAGTATAGGCTCCAAAGATACACAGAGAAACACTGTCTAGAAAAACAAAAACAAAAACAAAAAGAACATCTGGGAAATTCCAACAGTTATGGGAAGCAGAGACAGAACAAAGATCTCTGGAGAGAATCATGTGCAGAGCTCTGTACTGTGGGGCAGTTATGCCAGTACACAATAAAGAAGAGACACATTCCTACCACTTCCAGGCAAAGGTCACTAGCACTGGTTACCTGGAAGCTACTGCCTAAGAGCAATGTGGAATTAGAGTGTCCCAACCTTTGCTTTGTTTATGACACACATGGTTTAAGAAATACAGGGAAAAATTTTGCTAGAATATTCCTTCTGACTGACTCATATATATATATATATCCTTTGTCTGCAGCTTAGCATTGAAGAGAACAATATTTTGCTGTTTTTTCTCTTGTGAGCTCTTTTCCATGTCCCATTTTTATTTCCTTTTTTTCTCTTGATTTCTTTTCTCTTTCTTACTATTTTCAGTTATTACCTTCATTCTTCTCTTAACTTTTACCCTGATATCAATTTTCTATTTAAATACTTGATATTTTGTTGGCAATGAGGGAGTAAGAAGGTCCAAAACTCTCTACCTGTACTTTTATTGTAAGTCCATAGAAGTAATGTTTTAAACCATATTCTATAAAAGTTTGATTGTTCAAAGTAGATTTCATTTTGATTAAAGTTATACTTCAAAGATGATATTTATGCTTGGCTGCTTAAATAACATCAGACTCTATGTGTCCCAACATGAAGGTATGTATGAACAGGCAATGTCTTCATCTGTTCACAACACCATCTTCTATAAGCCCTGTCCACACTTTCAACGCAGTATACCAGTAGATACAAAGTTAGACCACTGTTAGGAACAATGGTTGGAACTGGGATGCAGTGATTTCCAGAAGTTCCTTCTGTAATTACTCGGCACAACTTCATACAGCCTTACTACAAAATCAGACCACAAAAGCCCAGAGTGGTTACAACATTTTATTTTTGTTCTCTGAGCCTTTAGGTTAGAGCCCCCACAAAATGTATTGATAGAATAACAGTGGAGATGATATGAGGGATTTGCTGTGGGTGTGTAGGTAGAGCTTGCTCTTTCTGGGTGAATCCTCATACTCATTCCCTTGTCCATGTGAGCTTCATAATATTTTCAAGCTGTTGAAATCAGAACTGCCCTAGGCCTTGAATTTGCAGACATAGGGAAGTAGTACTTCACAATTATAATCTCTCCACATCTGGTAACCTACGGAGAGATACAAGTAAAGGGATTGGGGCAGGTGAATCTGTGAACTCAAAGAAAGAATGACCCAGTCTTTACCCTCGATTTAAGACACATCTCCTGCAGGCTAGTCACTGTTGCATTTCCAAGGGAAGGAGACACAGAAGGAACCATTAGAGATGATGGCAGATCACAAGTCCACACTGTATTTCTCAAATATGTCTCACACCCAGGTGGTCAAACTGGATAAGGGGAGGTGGGTTAATCAGAGGTGGCTCTTCTCTGTCTTACCTGAGTTCCGAGACAAAGCTGCACAATAACCACGGTCTGCAGCAACAGAGGGGTTCCTCTCCCAGTTATAGAAGGTCAGCATATTGGAACTGCTCCACTTCCATCCACTTCCATTGGGGAGTGTACCCTGTAGAGTGGGAAGGAGTTGGTGGTAGAGATTCACTAGCACTCTGCATGATACCTTCACTGAAACACTTGATCCCAGTGTTCCCTAGCCTTCCCAAACATTGTATGTTCATACAAGAGCCATTGTATGCCAAGAGCCTTCTGGTGAAATATTATTTCAGAATTCCTTGGCCCTATTTACAAACCCCAGAAACAATGGAATGAAATTGGGATTGACTGGAATTTATCTGCTCTTGATAAATACAACTGGCAGTACTTTTGATGTTTCTTCAGAAACAAATGTACAAAAACCTGTTCTATAGAGAAAACACGGGAGATTTCTTTGTTCAGAATTTCCTGGCAATTGTATGTGCAGACTCCCTGATACTGATAAAATCCTCCAGTATCTCACACGAAATCTAGAAAAAGTCAATCACAGGCATACAGACTTTAAGTGAACTCTGAGATTTCCAGAGCTCAGCTCTTTGGTTGCTATTTCCCTTGCTTTAATGCCATCCAGCATTGGGGATCTATGACCCATTTGTGTTTTCTGGGGAGTCACAGGGAATCTTCCTCAGGGATAAAAGGCACTATGGGAAAAATCAAGGCAAAGATAGGATCGCACATGTGAGGGATCATGGAGTCCAATCCAGATGTATTTGTAGGTGGTCAAACTGTTCTTCACCAGGGAGGACACGAAGGTAATTTCACCAGTACTGAGCAGAAATGCCAGGTGTCCTGAGAAATGCATCTGACAGGATAGCTGTTTGAAGGACAGAATGGAAACAATATTAAACCCCCACAGGGAAATGGTAGAGGTGAGGGATTGGGTTCATCTCAGTTAACTAAACCACAGAGATTGAAATCCAACACTCCTCTTGACCTGGAATTACTTGCTTCTATTGCTCCCAACCCTGTGTGTCACTACTCACTTCTGCATCAGACCAGGTCTGTGGTATCAAAATCAGTGAATAGCAATAGGAGCCATAGGCTACAGAGCCTTGAGGACAGGTGATGCGTGAAGAAGGCAGTTTCTTTTGGGATACTTCACCTTCACCTGGTGTAAAGGGAGAAATAGACAGTGATGGAGTGAATAAGGGAGTGAAGATTAGAGAATGGTGGTCAACATAGAAAAAGTTCCCACTCTTTACCATTTCCCTAGGTGTATGTGTGTGTGTGTGTGTGTGTGTGTGTGTGTGTGTGTGTGTGTGTGTGTTAGGGGGTGTTTGTGCAGTAGTATACGTGAGCATAGAGACATGAATGCCAGAGGTCAGTCTCAAGTGCCATTGCTAAGTCCCTATTCATATTGGAATTTTTGATAGGGTTTCTAACTGACCTTGGAGGGTAATATATTTTGCTAGAGTGGTCATCCACTGATTACTCATGGATATTTCTGTGTCCTCTTCCCCAGTATTTGCATTGAAAGCATGCATACCATGTCATGTTTAATTTATGTGGGATCTGGTTGTTCAACTTGGGTCCTCAGGCTTACTTTAAAAAGCACTTTACTGGCTGAGCTATTATATCTGCAACTTCAGGTTCTTAATTTAAAGAGACTTCTTCATGTGGAAAAGCATGACATTTTGTTTTACCATTCCTGCATTTAATAGTCTTTTATTTTCTCTATTCACTAGGAGGACAGCCTATGGTTCATCCTCTGCCCTCTGTCTCCTTCCTTAGAGTTCATTCCTGACATTTACACTTTCATTTTTTTTAACCTGCCAACATGAATTAGAGACCACTGACAACTTGGAGAAACTTTCTTTCCATTACAATGATGCACTTTGGTATATTCCACTTCCTCCAATGATCCAGAGGGAGGCAGGATGAGGAAGATTTCCTGTGAGACTGCTCCCCTTACTTAACACATCAAACTCCCCAGAGTGAGTCTCTCCTTCTCACCCCTGAAAACTCATGGGGGACCCAGTGCTAGATGCACAGCAAGTTTACCTTCCACCCGAGAAAGGAACATCAGGCATGAAAGCAGCATCCAGGACATAGTAGAGAGGGTCATGGGAGGCATCGTGGTACCTGTGAGGGAGAAGGGAGTGTGGTCAGAGAAGACATGAAAGCAGAACACAGCCTCTTTCTATCATGCTTGCCTATCTCTTCAGGGAAGCACTCATTTGGGTTTGACCCCTCTCCTATTCCAGAACAAAATGGAGATCCCATGTTTAGCCTTCAGCTCCAATCTCTGCTGAGTTTCAGAGCAATACCTTGTGAGGGCCGAGAACTTTCTCTACCTTCTCCTGCAGTGTGAGAGGTGAACCCATGCCTGTCTCTAATCATCATTCAGCTCCAGCTTACCTGTCTTACAGAAATCTGGAGTGGTTTGTTGGGACAGAGAAGACTGTGCTTTTATAACAGGATCTGAGGGAAAGGCGACAAAGGACATGAGTGAGTGTTAGGCCCTTAAGAGTGATCGGTAATGCCTGGCATGGATTCAAGGAGGTTTCCAGTAAGAATGCATGACTTTTCACAGCAAAGACTGGGAACTGCCACACATGTGTCTCCTTTCCTGTTAGGCCAGCTCTGTCCTCAGATGCAGCTGTAGATTAAAACCCTGCCACCCTCTACAAGGTGTCAGGTTCTGCAAAATTTAGGAATACTCAGGCAGCCTTTGCTGCAGATTAGGAAGTTTTATTTTTTTAAAAAATATCAATCTATAAAAATTACAAATCAGGAATGCATTTTCAGTTGTACTAAAGAACTGACTTCTGTAGGTACAGATGCATTTTTATTCCTATCTAAAAAGATTTAAGATACATCAAAAGAGCAAAATTTGGTGTGTTAAAACTTGATTTGTTGAGTGAGGCATAACAAGCATTTAATACAAAGTAGAATTACTGGTTCAAATGGCTGCTACAACTTTTGAGTATAAACTTTAAAGCAACCATTGAGTCAACACTGTAGCCAATATTTTAAGGAAAAGCAGCTGAATAGATTTGATTTTTAGCTACTTCCATGTGTGAATACATAGGAACACTCTGAAAAAGACAAGAATGTTTTGCATTGATCTTAGTTCAGTCCCAGTTTAACTCAGGAGAAACAACTCCAAAATAGTTCATTCTAAGTTCTGCCATTTGTGTGATAGTGTCCTCTTTAATTCCATCTTTAAGTAGACATTAGTTACCAACATACATTTACTATTATTCCTTTCAGTAAGTATTATCTTTCAGTTTTATTAAGATATAAAAACCACAGTATTTTGTTTCTTTCCATGTCTTTCAGCACTTTTCTTTAAACAGATATGGGTTATTGGTCTGCTATCATTTTTTTTATCTGAAAGATGCTTTACTATTTTTCTGGGACTGAGTTTTCCCAGATCTTATTGGAGATAGTCTACACTGCTCCTTCACATTGAAGAAAATGTTGCAGACTACAAAAATCTAGTTTAATTTTTTCTGATGAAAGATTCAATTAAGATTCAATTGTTTATTCTATTTGGTGAAAGTCTGTTACTACAATAATGATTGTCAGAGCACCTCCAAAGGTAATCTAGCCAAAGGTAGTCAGCAAAAACAAAACTAAAAATCTGCAAGAAACAAGGGTTGGGTCATGTACAAAAGTGACTTCTCAGAAGAAATTCCAGGGTTCAGAAGAGTATATGTTATGCTTATGCTTCAGGTTTAAAAGAAAAAATATAACAAGAAAAAATAAAGGAATTTATATCTACTAAACCAGAATAGTAGGCAAACTAATGAGAAATAGGAAGAGACCAACCAATTTCAATACAGTGAATGACCAAGAAATGATTAAGAGCAGAAGCAATGGGCACAGAATACTGAAAACAACAAAAGGAAACGTCAACGAGGTGACAGGAACAACCATACCCTTTCAGTAATAACTCTGAATGTAAGTGATAAACAGTAAGAGAGAATGTATGTGATTTTTTTTTCAGTTTTTTGAGACAGGGTTCCTCTATGTAGCTTTGCAGCTGGAACTTGATCTGTAGACCACTCTGGCCTTGAACTCACAGAGATCCACCTGCTTCTGCCTCTTGAGTGCTGGGATTGAAGGTATGAGCCACCACCTCCTGGCTGTAAGTGAAATATTTTGATGACAAACTGTATTAAAAAGCAAGACCCAGTAACATGTTACATGCAAAAGACTCGGCACACAGGATGACAAACACAGACAGGAAGTAAATGAGTGGGAAAGACATTCTAAGAAAATAGAATGCAGGCCAAGCACTACCCACCACCCTGACCAGTGTAAGTGTTCCAGTTGTTCACTTTGATGCCCCTCTGTCAAATCCTGTGTTGAAAGCACAGTTGCTTCTGTCCTGACAAACTATCCCACATCTGTGCAAGATAGGTAAGTGGGAGATGAAAGATGACAAGAGCCTTACAGGGGTTTAACGTCTCAAACCACAGAAGATATGGGAGAGTCCCTGTCTTCACAGGCTCTGAGAATTAGCAATGGCTTCCGGAAATTTTCAGGTAAATGGAAAACAGATTCTTCATTTCATTCCAGACTATAGAAAAACAGCAATGGGGTTCAATGTATCCCTGCAGATCTAGACAAAGCAGAAGGGAAGGAATGACCATCTTTCCATGATTTCGCTTACCACACTCTCTATAGAGTTGTGATTGCTGCTCCCTCATAGACAAGATGTCGCGTCACCTAGCCCTCAACACTGTGGACTGGATGCTGCTCTCCTGCCTGATGTTCTTATCTCAGATGCAAGGTAATGCTGTTTTGCCTCTAGAACTGAAATCCCTGTGAGTTTCCATAGCCAAGAAGCAAAGGAGGTTTTTTAACAATCTCCCATGGAAATTATGAGGCGAATCCATGCAGTCACATTGCCTGCAAGTCATCCATCATCTTGCTTTCTTCAAAGTCACTGGTGGTGAAAAGTAACACAGTGATGCATCAACAGGGGAATCAGAGGGTTTCCATTTTGCCAGGAGGATCTAAATTATGTTAGTGATTTTGGAAAAGTGAAGTATGAGGGTCTATAATGAAATGTACAAATAGTGCAGAGAATTGTGGAATATTTAGGAAGGGTAAGATGAAAGGAGAAGCTCTTCTACATTGAACAGGGTTACAAAAAACAAAGAAACTAGCTGGGTGGAGTGGCATACAACTGTCATCCCAGCATTCAGGCGGCAGAGGCAGGAGCATCTTTGTAAGTTCAAGGCCAGGCTGATCTACATAGTGAGTCTCAAGACAGTCTGGGCTACAGTGATGTTGTCTCAAAAAAAAAGGAAAACAAGCAAGCAAAAAACAATACAGTATAAAGAAAAATCTTACTGAGGCTATCATTGTCATAAGTGATATGACAGCCACCATGGGAAACAAAACAAAACAAAACAAAAAAACAGGCTTTATAAACCTCTTAATTTGACCTCCCCACCAACTCTCATTCTTCATCTCATTTCATTCTCTCCTTACCTCCCTCCACCCCCAGGTGAAGACTCTCAGAAGGAACTACCCTCTCCATGGATCAGCTGCTCCATGGGCTCCAAGGCATACCACTCAGACTGCTATGCCCTAGTTATGACACCCAAATCCTAGTACCAAGCAGATGTGAGTATTAAAGGATGGAGCTGAAGATAATAGCATAAAGTAGAAGCTGGAGACAAAATAGTCCTCAGGTTTTCATGACTCCATGGGAATCAAAATGACTGTTCTTTTTTATGTAATCTATCAACTCACATGCATCTATCCCACCAATGATCAGAGAAGTGTCAGTCTCTCTCATTCTGTCCCTCATATAGCTGGCCTGTCAGAAGAGACACTATGGACACCTTGTATCTATTCTTCCTGGAGCTGAAACTTCCTTTGTGTCCTCCATGGTAAATGACAGAGTGAATAACTACCAAGACATCTGGATTGGACTCCGTGATCCTACAATGGTTAGATTCTGTCTTTTCCCATTTCATCTCCAGAAGCTGATACCTCCCAAGCACAGGTATTTTCCCCCTTTTTTATTTAAATTAGAAGCAATCTTATTTGTTCATGTCAGCTGTTTCTGTGGGTGAATACATACCATGTTTGTCTTTTTGTGACTGGGTTACCTCACTCAGGTTGGTTTCTTCTAGTTCCATCCATTTGCCTGCAAATTTCAAGATTCCATTGTTTTCTTCTGCTGAGTAATACTCCATTGTGTAAATGTACCATATTTTCTTCATCCATTCTTCAGTTGAGGGGCATCTAGGTTGCTTCTGGGTTCTTGCTATTACAAATAATGCTGCTATGAACATAGTTGAACATATGTCCTCATTGTATGAATGTAAATCCTTTGGGTATATGCCTAAAAGTAAAATTGTTGGATCTTGAGGTAGACTAATTGCCATTTTCCTGAGAACCTGCCATACTGATTTCCAAATGGCTGTATAAGTTTCCCCTCTCACCAACAATGGAGGAGTGTTCCCCTTTTTCCACATCCTCTCCAACATAAACTGTTGTTGGTGTTTTTGGTTTTAGCCATTCTGACAGGTGCAAGATGGTATCTTAGAGTTGTTTTGATTTTCATTTTCTTGATATCTAAGAATGTTGAGCATTTTCTTCAGCTCCTATTAAGAATTCTATTGAGAATTCTCCATTTAGTTCTGTACTCCACTTTTTAATTGTATTTTTTGGTGTTTTGGAGACTAGCTTCTTGATTTCTTTGTATATTTTGGAGATCAGCCCTCTGTCAGATGTGGGGTTGATGAGTATCTTTTCCCATTCTATGGACTGCCATTTTTTCTTGGTGACTGTGTCCTTTGCTTTACAAAAGCTTCTCTGTTTCAGGAGGTCACATTTATATTGTAGATCTCTGTGTCTGTGCTACTGGTGTTATGGTTAGGAAGCAGTCTCCTGTACCAATTCGTTTGAAGAGACCACCTAACTTCAATTCTAAGAGGCTCAGTGTGGTTAGATTTATGTTGAGCTCTTCGATCCATTTGGACTTAAGTTTTGTGCATGTCAATATATATTAATCTATCTGCGGTCTTCTATATGCTAGCATCCAGTATTGTCAGCACCATAAGTTTAGCTTCTTTGTCAAAAATCAGGTGTTCATAGGTGTTGGAA